AGACTTGTAGAAGATCTGCAGCATCTTGCTGCAGACATTGAAGGATCTCAACTTCCTTAAGAAGTACAGTTTGCTCTGTCCTTTCTTGTAGACTGCTTCACTGTTAAGTCTCCAGTCCAGTCTGTTGTCCAGATGAACACCGAGGTATTTATATTCCTCAACCACCTCCACTTCTTCTCCCATGATGGAAACAGGGTTTGATCTAGCACTATTTCTCCTGAAATCTACAATCATCTCCTTTGTTTTGTTCACATTCAAGATGAGATGATTGTCCCTACATCATGCCACAAAGTGGTCCACCAGCTCTCTGTCCTCAGCTTCCTGTCCATCTCTGATACACCCAACAACTGCAGAGTCATCTGAGTATTTCTGTAGAGGACAGCAGTCTGACTTGTGCTGGATTCATTTACTCATTTACTTTCATTTACTTTATAAGTGAATGTGAAGTAATTGTGTTAGATTTACTCAATTCAGTTAAGTAGAACCTGTTGACATAATTTATTTAAGTAAATCCAACACAAATGTTTTGATTTTTTTAGTGTAATACAGGTCTATGTTAAATTTGCCTCTCTAATCTGATAAAATCAGCCGTTTCCTCTCATTTCTTGTAGTTTATGTTCTATATTAAAACAAATGCAGGTGTATTTCTGTTCTAACTGTGATTACAAAGTGAAATTCTCCTTCTGTGGCTCGGTGTAGTCTCAGAGTTCAACACTTTATTTTAACTTTTGAAAAGTTTGTCATAAAGTTCATTTTGATACCAAGTTTGCCTGAGTTTTGTATTACATAGAAAAAAGACATTTTCCAGGAGTCGAATGTTCCCCACGCTCTGCCAGCTGATTTTCAGCCACTTCCCGGAGGTAAAAAAAAAGCATATTGGTAAGTTTGTTTGGATCACATCAACTGATCCGATTATCAAATTATTTCAGAACTAGTGGAATGGTTTTTAAACAACCTTTATTTATTTTTGTAAATTATTTTGATAGTTTTGGTGCAGTGTCAGTAAGAAGTTGGTGTGTTTTAATGAGTCCCAGGTTTTTGTCAGAACCTAATTACATTAATAAGGTGTGTCTGAGATGACCTCTCAGCACTGAGGTTATGTTCCACAACTGAACTCGTTTCTTTGAAAGATTTTAAAGATTACTTTTGACATACAGTCTTTTGTTTCCATAAGCTTTATCATCCTTCAGCAGTAAATCTATGCAGACATATTACTCTTCAGACTTAAAACAATAATTTTGGAAAGATTTTTTATTCTTGGTTGATTTGATTGCTGTCATATATGTATGTAAATAGAATGAGCTATAGTTATTTTGTACTGAACTGCCTCTAAACATTAATAAATTGTGGATGTACATTCAAAGCTTACTTTCTCAGAGCTTTCTTACAATCTATCCAATGGTTCACAAGATATTCTGTTAACAAACAAACTCAGGTAACACATGATGATGAAGAAATTTATAGTTAGTACTGATTAAATACAACACAGAGTTAGGGTTTTCTACTTTATAATACCTTTATAATGTT